TCTGCAAAATTTTTTTCACAAATTTTACTATATAACTGGACTGCTGTATGTTACTATGTATATAATTCGTCTCTGTAATCCAAAAATTTCTGGTAGACGGACTCACAGCAAAACTTTTAGTTAGGAACTCACTTTTATTCTTTAAAAAATGACATATGCATTTCAGGTTGGTACATACATCCAACCCCTCTCAGTGCTAATTTTTCAAAAAACAATAAAAAGCTATAATAATCAGTACATGACATCACATACATTACAAAATATTTGTACATACTTACTCTTAAAAATAAAATTTGTGTGTGGGCTACCAATACATCTAAACACCAACAATTGTTTCTGATCAATACACCTTAAAATTATCGTACAAGTTTAAAGAGCACTTGAAGTGTTTGCATTACATCACTTCTAAAAACAAATTACATTATGACAATTTTGTAGACTTAACAAAAGCATGAAAAAACAATACCTTACATACCTTTAAAATATGAATAGTATTATATTATTAAATGAAGGATTCTAATGTATTGTGAGGTATTGGATTGTTAGTATACTATTCATATTTTAAAGGTATGTAAGGTATTGTTTTTTCATGCTTTTGTTAAGTCTACAAAATTGTCATAATGTAATTTGTTTTTAGAAGTAATGTAATGCAAACACTTCAAGTGCTCTTTAAATTTGTACGATAATTTTAAGGTGTATTGATCAGAAACAATTGTTGGTGTTTAGATGTATTGGTAGACCACACACAAATTTTATTTTTAAGAGTAAGTATGTACAAATATTTTGTAATGTATGTGATGTCATGTACTGATTATTATAGCTTTTTATTGTTTTTTGAAAAATTAGCACTGAGGAGTGGTTGGATGTATGTACCAACCTGAAATGCATATGTCATTTTTTAAAGAATAAAAGTGAGTTCCTAACTAAAAGTTTTGCTGTGAGTCCGTCTACCAGAAATTTTTGGATTACAGAGACGAATTATATACATTGGTTCAAAAAAGGCTGAAAAATGCTGTGTTAGTGTATTTTAAATATGGTAATAGTGTTTATAATATTGTTTTACAGATATAAGAAAAATTTGATAATCTATGCCATCTCATATTAAATGCTAATTTGATAAAGATTTTCTCGGTTTTTTTTTTTTTATTTAGAAAGAATTACAAGATATACATTGATTATTTTCAAATTACTTGAATTCAGGTGTACTGGTATAAAATATAATATATAGACATTTTTTAATAATGAGACTGATAATTTTATGTAGAACAGGACTGCTAAAAGTAGTCATACTAGTTTGAAGCTATGACCGTTATATATTTTTAAAAAGTTTGCCTAAATCTAGCTGTATATACTATATATAGCTGTTCTATTAACTGTAATAAGCCTAATATAATCTTCCTAATGTTAAGAAATGTATCAAAGGAATTATTTCTTAATTTCAGAATGATTCTTATAAAAAAACTATCTTAAGAACAATTCTTCAAAGAGAAATATTTATGATAACTTAAGAAACCTATTTCTAAGATTATTCTATTTCATTTATTTGGTTTTGTGTAAAATCATTCAGTTATTTAATTTTTATATGTAAATGTAAGGACTTATTAATAGATTTTACTCAAAAATTTCAATTTATAATATAAGTAGAATAAAAACATTATCCTGTTACTTGAAATACTTTAAATAAATAAATTACATTTAATTAAAAATAATTTAATGATTATCAAATTTTAAAATATCCAATATGAAAGATTAATATTGTTTTATCTTAAAATATGTTTAAAAGTTTTCTAATGATAAATCATATAATTAAATAATAATTTTTTCTTTGTTTTACTACTAATAGGATAAACGATCAATATTTCCACGATTTTATTTTATTGGTGATGAAGATTTGCTGGAAATACTAGGACAGGCAACTCAACCACGTATTATTCAATCACATTTGAAAAAATTATTTGCTGGAATACATTCCGTAGAATTTGATGAGGAGTGTAGTCATATTATTTCAATAAAATCTGTTGAAGAAGAAATTGTACCTCTTCAGCATAAAATTCAAGTTACACCAAATATTGAAGTAAGTTTGATATATTATACATCTAAATAATTTGTTTATATTTATTGGACAATGTTAAAAGTAACTTTAAATTTCATAATAAATTAATTAGCTTACTCATTAATATACATGAAATGTTTAAATATTTTACAACTTTTGGCAATTAAACTTCAGAATTGAATCTATTACAAATGTACAAAAACATATAGAAACAACACTCAATTTTTTATAAAACAGATAGCTGACAAATTTGATTTCTTTCTTTTTCTGTAGAATCTTCATATTTAATCATATTAAAAGAAATTTTGATTTTGTTCCATCATTACAAATAATAATAGCAATTTGATAGACAAAGATCACATATTAGTCTGAATGAAATATTATTATTGTACCAATTATTTAAAATACTTTATGTGGTTACTGCTGCTGGTAAGAATGATCTATATGCTATATGCTATATAAATGGAAAGAGCATCATTGATTGCAACTTATGGTATAATAAATAAAATTTTTATTAATTTTTAAAGAAGATTATCTGTTTTATAATTTTTTAAATTTCAGATTGATGTATTCCAAGATATTTCTATTATAGTGAGATTTTAAAATTATCCTAACAATCAACAAATTGAACAAATGCATGTAATTTAATTAAATATCTAAAAGCCAGATTTATTTCTGACTACAGTGAAACTCCATTTATCTGTATCCCATTAATCCAGATCTTTGGTTTACTGGAATAAGAAAGATAGACATACAGAAAACCTATATATGCAAAGAAATCAAAGAACTAACTTGTGAGTGGTACAGTATATCTTGCCTGAGTAGGCTATATGTTGCAGCTGTAAGAATACTGTTTTCTCTTGGCTCACTGCCAATTTTGGACACCAGCAACTTTATAACTGAGGATCTGGTAACAGAAATAAATACAGTACTGTATATCAAAATTACTTCAGTTCAAATTAGTCCTTTGGTTTTCCTACAGAGTTCTAAGCCTAATTACTGAATTACCGGTTGACCTTAAAAAAAATCATAAGGAGAAGTTCTACCCCACACAAATGGTCAGGATTAGTTATGTACATGTACTGTACCATCTGATAGAAAACAACAAATTGATATTATATTAGATAAGTCTTTTGCTTTATACTTTTAATATTGTTGTAAAAGTATATATGATGTGCAATAAATAAAATATAATCTACATCTAAACTCTGTTATTTATGTGGATTTTGGTCATTTGGATTGGGCCCAGTCCCATTTGAGTCAGATAAACAGCATATAGACTGTATAGAGTCTTAAAATATCCAGCTTTGAAATATTAGATTATTGAGTTTTGGGTTTGATTTTCACCTAATTTTATATAACTTTTAAAAAGTAACTTAGATTAGTTAACAGTCAAATTACACATTTCTATGACTACTTATTTCAATAGTTTAAAAAAATTAATTATAATTATAATTATTAAATATAAAATGAACATTGTATGAAGTAATAAAATTTTACTTGTTTATTTAGGTGTGGTTAGGAGAGTTAGCAAAAGAAATGAAGAACACACTGAAGTTATTATTGAAACAAAGTCTTAAAATTAGTAAAGTTGAAGGACAAGGCGGATTGGATCCTTCTAATTTTCCTTCTCAGGTAAATTATAAAACTGTAAAATAATATAAATGTTCAGAAAAAATTAAAACAATGGGATTGGTAATATTTCTAAAAAATTTTTGTAAACTCTAAAAATAAAAATTATTTTCAGATTAAATATAAGTAAAACTACTCTTTTTATATCTGATTTCGAGTGATTTATGCTAGCGGACAAACAATTAACAAAAAGATACTATACTTCAACTGCTAATAACTTGTTGTTTATTAAATTCATAACTTCCAAATGCATTTTGCTTACAAAGCCTCATCAGTGGACAAATGAACATCAACAAATCCTGTTCCCTTTATACTGGGTGATTTTTTCCTAGCATGCATCCACATTCATGCCAGTATTCTGATTTATCAAATTTACATATTCAACAATACAAAAGTGTTCTATCATTCTTCTCTTAAAACAATTTTTAACTCTATATAATATTTTTACATTATTTCTATGTATTTTACAATGACATTTGTTACAGTGTAGGTACCACAGTGACTCTTGTCTTTTTAGCCGAATCACAGCTTCTGTAAAATAATATCATTCAATATTCATAAAGAGTCTTTCATTAAAGTTCTGGTAAATTATGGGATCCCAAAAAAGAAAACAATATTCAAACTAACTAAACACACTCAAGAAAACCTTTAAATATGCAGCCGTATTTATTAAATTCTAATGTTTTCGGTCATATTCAATGACCTTTCTCAAGAAAAAACAGAAAGAATCGAAACTTGAATATGACCAAAAACGTTAGAATTTAATAAATACGGCTGCATATTTAAAGGTTTTCTTGAGTGTGTTTAGTTAGTAAGAAATTGCAGTCTAAGATGAGTTGTAATATTCAATTTATTTTAGAATTGCAAATCAACTTAAAAAAATTTTAAAGTTTTATATAATAAAAATTAGTTTTGTATTTAAATCAGAAATTATTTTTCAAAACTTATTTATATACTCACTGATTTTGTGTGTGAGCAAAATTTTTCTTTTCTAAAGAAAGATATCTGTTTAAATTAAAGATATTATTGTTAGTTGTACTTTATTTTAAATTAATAATTTTTATTTAAAACATCTCTAATTTATAATCATTAAATTATTAAATAATGAATGAGTTATGAAATAAATTATTAAACTCATTTTTTTATATATTTTTTCAGTTAATAAATTTAACTTGAATTTAGTTATTCATATAATTTTATTTTATATATATAATTAAAAATGTATATTCATATATGAATATATATTATAATAATACAGAAATAAATATATATTCATTTAAATTAATCTTTCATTCTTTGCTTATATCTGTTTTAGATTCTTTGCTTAACTGAACAAATATTGTTCACAGAAAAATGTGAGAAAGCAATCCAGAATAATTCTTTACATCATCTTTTGGATGAAATGAAAGCACAACTAGATTCATTTACCAACACTGACTTATCAGAATCAACTGTTGAAAGTTATATCTTGAGTTTAAAATTAAAAGCACTTATTCTTGATACAATTCATGAAATAGCTATTGTTGAACATTTAATTGATAAAAAAGTGAAAAATTTAAATGATTGGTATTGGCAGAAACAATTGAGGTTAGTTTGTTTTACATTTATATAATTTTTAAAATAATTAATCCTTTAAAGCAGATATGATAATGAAATTTAATTTAGATCACTATTTATACATGCTTGTAATGTTCAACAGATAAGATGATTATTTTCTACACAAGAAGAAATGCTTTTTATTTTTTTTTATCTTGTATTTCTTGATGTTTGCTTGTTTTTCAATGATTTTTGTATGATTATTTTTTAAGATAATATATTATTCACAATCCACTGCATTTAAACATTCTCTCCAAATTATGTTGTAAGTCTATGATGATTACTATCTCTAATATTCCTTCAGTTCACAAAATTGTATCACTGCATTTTGTTCTTTGGTACAAATGAAAAGTAGAGTGATCATTTTAACTGCATTACAAGCATACTAAAACTGATTAAACTTGAAACTATTTCCTAATTATATATAAAGTTTTTGTATTACCTGTAGGAGAAATTAATAGTGTTTATTAATATAAGATTTTTACAAAAGCATTGCAGATATTTTCTGATGCAACTTTGTAATTATTACTAACCTTGCATACTAATTTTAAATTCAGGCTGGAAATTTATGTGAATACTAAATAATTTATCAAAAAGTTTCTATTTAAAATCTTAGTTAGATATGAAATCCAATAAATTCAAAAGTATTATTTATATATATATTTCTTAATTTTAATGATGATTTTTTTTTCCTGTATTCGACAGATTTTATTTACGAAGTGATGGTGTTGCCATTGGAAAAATGGTAGATGCAGAATTTGAATATACATATGAATATCAGGGAAATCCTTCTAAACTTGTACATACACCACTTACAGATAAATGCTATCTCACATTGACTCAAGGTGATTTGTTATATTAAATTAATTAATTTTTTAAACATTAATGAATCATGACAAACTATTTGTAGGCCTTCAAAATTTAGCTAAACGTTTTAGATATTTCTATGTATTTGAAGTATCTTGTGATCATAATTTTAGTACTTCTATTCCACAATGTATGGAGTAATATATAGCAATTAAATTTTGTATACTGACATTTCTAATATATAAAAACATCTCCACAGGAGAAAAATTTAGTTCCAAAGCCTAACACTATGAGATGTGATGCATCAAGAAAATACATATGTATAAATACAAGTAAAATAAATACTTGTTATGATCAGTTTCTAGGTATAAAACTTCCTATGACATGAATATCATTTACATTGCTGCATATCAGCATTGATGGTCATAACCATGCTGAACTTGCCTTTCTTGTGAAATTGTAATAAAAACAATGCCAATTTTGCAAGTGCACTTCAAGATTTACAACACCTTAAGAAATTGCACCAAAAACATTATGCATAGCTGATGGCAGTTTGAAATTTTATCGTTAAGCTGATGGAAGCAGGATGGCTATTTTGACAAATTTCCTGCCATCTGAGCCATTCTGTTTTGACTGTGAGAAGGTGCTAATGGCAGTGGATATGTCACGACACACATACAAAGAAAGCAGGTTCTGGGCATTCTGAACAGACCACTAGGAGAGATGCTCATCTGATTGTGAGAGAAGTACAAACAGCTGAAATAACATTTTTGTCCATCTTTCATCCATCTCTGGATAGAAATGGGTGGGAGCCTTGCTGAAGAACATTGTCTCTTTTCATACCACTAACATGTGACTAGCAGAGACAAATTTGCGTGAATGGCAACTGCTACACCATCTTGTCATTAGCACTCTAACATTGTTGACTTTGTTTGCATTGATGCCTTGACAGAGAATCATGGACTCTATGGACTGGCAGCATATCATTTTTAGTTAAAATTCTCAGTTCTGTTTGGGAATGAACAACCATTGTGTTCGGAGTGTAAAGAATCAGTGTTAAACATTTCAATTTCAGCCACACACTGACCTTACAGCTGGTGTGCTGGTCTGGGAAGCCATCTTGTATGGCTGTCATCACCTCTAGGGTGATACAAAGGACATTGCTGGCATAGCAGTATTTCAGGAAGTCCTGTTATCATGTGTTGTCTTGAATGACAAAACTGCAAATAACCATTTTCCAAGAAGACAATGCTTGCTGCACACATATAGGGTTTCCCAGAAATGTCTATCACATTACCACATTTCTTGACTTGCCTTATTTCTAGTTTGTTGCCCATCAGCAGTTGTGGAAGCAGTTGGGATGCCAGCTTAAGTAATTTATAAATGAGGAATCTGGAGTGGCAGAGTTGCAACATACAAAGGAAGGCTGTTACAGGACAGTATATTGTACTGTACCTGTGGACCTCTATATCTGATCATTTCCAGACAAGAGGATGTCCTACAAGATAGTAAATATTCCTTTAAATTGTCCCTTTGCTATGATATTGTAATCATTTATTATCATTGTTATTATGTTTGTACTAATAAATTTTAATTTGCTTCCAACACCTTCTTGATACATAACACTTTTTTGTCAACGAATATATTTTTTTAAAATTCAAACAAATCTGTTTTTACATTAGTATTTATTATAATATTATCAGTAATTTATTAATATAGTAAATTTTATTGTATTTGTTAACTAAGTTTTCACAAATTAGCAGATGAGCCTGGCATTGCTTGGGCAAAAAATAACGACAGCAAAGATTAAGATTAATTGTTAGATTAATTAAGATAATTAGATTATTTCATACTTCTACTTCTAACCCTTCTAATACATTATATGTAGTACTAGCTTACCCGTCGCTCATTGCTGTGATCTCAGAAGAAACAAAATTCAAGCAAACTCGTTATAATAAAATTCAATTTATATTTTATCATTTTTATTGAAATTTATTATTATTATTACATTATTATTATTATTCATTTTCATCGGGAAAACATTTCAAAGTGTCGTTTCAATTCTATTTATTTATTGGAGTGCTCGTGGATACACGATATTTTTTGTTTTTCCATCTGGGGCATACACAAATAAATCAGAAGGTTTTCTGGTGCATGAGCTGGCCACATACATTTGTCCATGTGAGAAGCATGATTCTCCAAATCTAGCCCACTTTGCAATTGCAGCGATTGTCAGAAGTACGATATTCCCTATTTTTATATATATTTTTTTAATCCTTTACAATTTTGATTATTTAATTGCTCCTTCTTCTCTTCCTTGGCATGTTGTGAAATTTCTGATAGTTGGATAATAAACCGTTTTATTGTTATTTTGAGTTGATATTAAAATTTGGAAAACGGGATCCCTAGATCGGTAAAATAGGCGAATTTCCTCCTACAACTTCGTTGTTGTTCGGGATACACTTAAGGTTTTAACAAAGTTCGAGCGAATACATAATTAGCAAAAAATAGTTGAAATAAAGTGATTAAACAAAAATTATTACAAATATCGTAAATAACAGTTTTCAAATGCATATATAGAGATATATTTTGGAGGGGGGAAATGGTCTTCACAATTTCAAATTGATCAAACTCACGATGCTTGTATACACTCGCGCCATCTATCATAGGATAAATGTACTATGCCAGAAACCTTTGCGGGATTGTATTAAAAAACTTCCCAAAGTTTTATGGCAATCATACTATGCCAGAAACCTTCATGGGAGTATATTAAACAACTTCCCAAAGTTTCATGGCAATTGGATAAACGGTGTGGTAATGCATGAAGGACAAACAGACAGATAGACATACATTCATTTTTATATATATAGATTATAGTATTTAATTTATATTAATAAAGGTTATTTTATATAAGAGTTTATCACACCGAGTGCCCAATCTAACACATTTTAAAAATTCTTTAAAATGTATACAGTAGAGGAATAAAGAATTTTAAAATGTTAGATTGGTCATTCAGTGTGATAAATCCTTATGTAAGATAATACCTTTATAGTTATATAGCCAATCTGACCTGTTTTCACCAGGTGCAAGAATTAAATCCCCTTTTTCTGAGGCTAATTAGAGAATTTTTAGATGAGTCTAAAAATATGCTTGATTTCCCACAAAAATACAAAAAAACCACATCTAAAATAGTACAGTATAAGCTGAGTTAACCCTCTCCTTCTCCTGTAAGGGGGGAGTAATTTCCAAAAATTTCTTTTTAATGTGCATTCTCACAGTGTACCCTAATTGAGTACCAAATTTCAACTTTCAACTCATAACCATTTGGGCTCTGCACTTATTATTATCATTCCATCTCGATTATATTATAAGATAGCAAATAAAATTTTAATTTTCAAATGAGGGGTCAAGTACAAAATAGGTAGCAGTTTTATTTTTAATATTTCTAAATATATTTCTTTCTTTAATAAAATTTATTTTCTTTAAAATCTTTTTGAATGACTGTGATATTGGAGAATAAATATGAATTACGAGTAATGATTAAAATATTTAAACATTCTATTGCATAATTTTTATGCATTCAAAGCTAGAACTACTTAAAAACAGTGATGTCATTTGAATATTTGCTAACCAACATTCCAACCAACCTTATTATACCTGAAGAAGGCCATTCAAAATGGCCAAAAACGTTTGTACTTAGTGATTAAACTGCTAGAAACAAAGTGTGAAAGGTTTTGTCTTACTTATGCATAATTTTTATAGATATGTGTGAATTTATTTTTTTACTTCTATTTTATTTAAATTTATTAAATATGATATGTAATATTGTTTTTAGGAATGAAAATGGGATTGGGTGGATATCCATATGGTCCTGCTGGAACAGGGAAAACTGAATCTGTAAAAGCATTGGGAAATCTTATGGGTAGACAAGTACTAGTATTCAATTGTGATGAGGTAAAAACTGATATGTCATAAATGTTAATAAAATTAATTTGATAATTGTATCTTTACTGAAAATTTAGATTATAATGATTGATCTGCTTTTTAAATTTATTCTATCTAAAGACTAGAATGTAGTGCTTAATATATGAATTATTTTTTGTTTTAAACAATTTATCTAGTACATTTCATAGGAAATAGTAGAGAAAACTTTTTGCTGAAATATTGATTTTATGAGTAATTTTAGTAGCTGAAAAATTTTTGAACTGATTTAACATTGGGAATACTAAAAGTTTTATGATGATTCCAACAAATCGTATAATTATTAAACTTGGCCATTATAACCATTAGATATGATATAATCACATACCCCATAAAAATCTTTATTGACAACTTTAAATTCCATCAGTATCAATATGTCTATTGTTGAGTTCTTGAGGAAAAAAAAAACAGATCAGCTGAAGAAGGCCATTGTAAAGGCCAAAATACTTACCAGAATTTAAAGTAGTTAATAAAGATTTTTGTGGGGTATGTGATTAGTCTGTATCTAATGGTTATAATAGCCAAAGTTAATAATTATATGAACATATACATGAACAAAAAAAGCATAAGAACAAATCCAACAGATCATTTGGCAATACTAATTGAACTGGATTGTTGTGTATGATTTTTTAAACTGAAAAAAAACTGTTATTAACACAAATGATAGTTTGGTAACTATTGATCAATTTTTTCTTCTTTTTTTATTTATTACAAAATTTTAAAGTAATTTTAACAGCCTTCTTTCTGGAAAAAAATAATACAATTAAAAAAAAATAGTTTAAAACAGCATAAAATAGAAAAAAACAACTATAAAAAGTACAAAAAATTACAATAAATTATATAGACAATGGAAATGGTATCAATGCCAAACTAATACAAATAATTTTGTAAATAAAAATTGAAATAAAAAAATACAGCAATGATTATTTAAATTAATATCGATAATATTTCATTCTATAATATTGTTATATCTGCATATCTATATTCTATATATATCATATTTTTTTTTATTCTTCAAAATATGTATTATTCATTCTAAAAATGATGTCATATGTCACATAAGACATGCAACAGTTAGATGACTGATGTTTAAAAAAATTAGTATCTTAGTATAAACATGTATTTATACATAATTATGTACTCAAAATTTCAGAGGTAATTGTTCAGTTAAAATAAACAAGACAAGTAACTTTTATAGATTATAGTAGAGCATCGATTATCCGAATAAATTGGGGACTGGGGTTGTTCGGAAAATCAATATTTTGGATAACCGATTATGTACGAAAAAATATATTAACCTATCCCATGTTGAAATTTTTCTCTGTTGCGTGTCGCTTTGCATTGAGTTTTCATCAATGTTAAGCCTAACGAAGACTATTGTATCATTAAAAATTGTTTTTTTATTTTGTAGAAACGAAATAAATATATTGAAAAATATAAAAACAATAAAAAATTATACTTCAGAAGTTAATTTAGTATCAAAAACGTAAAATATTTGAGTAGCCCAAGACATAGCCAAAGATTGCAGCGCCACAGCACTGGCGAAAATTTAAATTTGCCAACTGGAATTCTTTCGGATAATTGACTTTCGGATAATCGACGCTCTACTGTATTAGAAATTCCATAAAAGAATAAATTCAACATACATAATCTTTGAAAATATACACATGTAATTTTATAAATGTTGATTGTGCTTAACTTATAAAGTGTGTTAAATATACAATAAAATATTTAATAACAAATCAACTAAGATTTTCATGTTTTCAACTTCATATAATAGTTATATGAGTGAATATTCAATACTTTGAAAATACAATTATAAACAATTGTTATCTAATGAGTTTGATTATCCAAGTGCCTTAAAATTTCACAAAGTTTTTGTCTTTATTTTAAATTATATTAGATTATATTAACTTGAAAAATGTGGATGCTCAATTACATTATACATTTAATAGATGCCTCAAGTCTTTTATCACAATATTGTTTATTATATTTCCTCATTTTACAGCTGGCAATTAAAAATTGTTCTAAATCTCATTTATGAAGCTGTTGTACATCCAAAATAATATCAAATCAATGTCAAGTTGATCAGTTTGATTAATTCCAAGCAATAATTAGGGATAAATTTTCTCCTGTTCATGATGAAATTCTACTTTATTTAAAATGATCAGAAATGAACAATATTTCTTAACTTCCTTGTATCAATTGACTCTATCTTTCATTCAAACAAAAGTATTACTACACAATTTAAGAAATCAAATATTTTATTTCAATTAAACACTATTTGAGATATATTGTATCTCAAACATCTAATTGAGATTGAACATCTAATAATAAACAGATTCAAATATAAATTTTGTTTCATTTTAAAATTTTTATAAAAATCAAAACATTTCAATTGTAATAATGTATTAATTTATAAGATTCTGATCCTGTCAAGATTCTGACAAAACTTTGCCAAGGGATATGGCTGTCAGTATGTTGGCCAACTGACTGGAAGAGATCCATCTTAATACCTTTGTTTAAGAAGGATGACTACAGAGACTGTTCAAACTATCACATGATTGCTCTGATATCTAATGCTAGCAAAATTCTTCTCAAAATAATACAGCACAGAATGCAACAGTTTGTTGACAGGGAGCTACCTGTAAACAAGCAGAATTCAGGAAAGGCAGAGGAACAAGAGATCATATAGCAAACATCAGATGGATAATGGAAAAAGCAATAGAATTTCAGAAAGATGTCTACATGTGTTTTATTGATTACAGTAAAGTTTTTGACTGTGTAGACCTCAATAAAATGTGGAGAACACTGAAAGACCTGGATCTCCCTGATCACATCATCAATCTACTTCAAGCACTCTATCACTACCAAGAAGCAACAGTGAGAACAGTCTATGATGACACAAACTGGCTAACAGTGGACAGATGAGTCAGGCAAGGATGCATCCTTTCACCTTCACTGTTTAATATATATGCAGAGATGATTTTTAGGAGGTTAGCCTCTCAAGACACAGACCTTGGTTTCCACATAGGAGGCAAGGTCATCAGGTATGCAGATGATACAACTTTACTAGCAGAGTCGGAAGAAGATCTGGTCACTTCAATTAAGAGCATAAAAGACGAGAGTGAGAGGATGCGCTTAAAGCTCAACATTTAAAAGACCAAGGTCATGACAACAGCTGAACTGCATGGGAAAGTGACAATAGATGACCACAAACTAGAGATTGTGGATGACTTTATCTTTCTTGGTTCAAAGTTAAGCAGAACAGGAGCATGCATAGAGGAGATCAAGCAAAGGTTAACCTTGGGCCACACTGCTCTAATCAAGATGGACAACATCTGGAAAAGCCAAGACATCACAATATCTACTAAGGCCAGACTGGTCTAGGCAATTGTGTTCCTAATCACAACCTATGGTTGTGAAAGCTGGACAGTAAGAAAAAGTGATAGAAGAAGGATAGATGCATTCGAACTTTGCTGTTGGCGGCAGATCCTTAGAATCACGTGGACAGATAGAACAACTAATAAAAAAGTCTTAAATGAAATTTGACCACAAATCTCCTTAGAGGCAATGATTGCATGCTTGAGGTTAAAGTTCTTTAGTCACATCATTCGTGCTGACTCCCTGGAAAAACAGATCATGCTGGGAATGGTAGAGGGACATAGGGAAGGCAATGTACCATATGGATGGATAATATCAAAGCAGATACCAGCCTGGAACTCAAATACCTGAAAGACTGGGCACTACACAGAACTCGCTGGAGGAAAGTCATCTATGAAGTCACCAATAGTCGTACATGACTTAATGGTTAAAGAAGAAGAAGAAGAATTAATTTATAAAACAGTGACATAATAAAATATTAACCATAAAAAAATAAAAATTGCCAAAATTAATTAATTCAGATTAACATTTAGATTACATTCCTATATTTTCAAGCTTTGTATGCAACAACTAACATTAAGAATTATACTGATGGATCTAAATCAGTAGGTACATGCATCTTATTTAAAACTGGAATAATGCTGATGTCAATTGATAGTTCTGTAGTCTTAAGGACATCTTAAAGTTTGACAAGATACTTTTCATTTTTTTCACTAGATTTTTATTCCTTTTTTGTTCATAATCATTTCCTCTACTCAAAAGCTGTAATCACACTTCCTATTTTGAAATTTTCTAATACTGTATATAGAAATATTAAAAATCAATTAAAATTAATTTCAGAATCAAACAAGTAATGTAACTGTATTGCAATACACAACTATTAATATGTATTATGTATTATATTAAAAGTAGGTTAAGAAAGTTATAATTTATTATATATCATTATTATTGTTGAACTTATTTATAACTTTAATAATAATTAAAATAATTATCTCATAGACTTAAAAGAAATGTTTTGAATAAAATTTAATTTACATACTTGAAAATAAGTAAATATAAACGTTATGATTTTTTTAATAAGATATATATTATTTTTTACAGGGTATTGATGTGAAATCAATGAATAGAATATTTATAGGTTTAGTAAAATGTGGAGCTTGGGGTTGTTTTGATGAATTTAATCGACTTGAAGAAGCTGTTTTATCTGCTTTGTCTGTGCAGATCCAGTCTATACAATCAGCTTTAAAAAATAAAGTTACTGAAATTGAATTGCTTGATAGAAAGGTACAGGAATTATTCAATTTTAGATTATATTTGTGATGTTAACAATTGAAAATATATTATATTATATTTAACTGATAAAAGCACTATGGAAATGTGAATTTAAGCTAAAAAGTCAAATTTTGCATATATTTTATGTATTGTTATTATTTTATTTTTCATTTGTAACTTATTATTATATATATCAGGGATGGGCAAGCAAGAGTTCAGTGGGAGCTGAAATGTATCATAGGTTTTGCAAAATGCATGNGTTCTGTACATTTTTATTCTGTACGGCAGTTCTGTACAGCGATTTTATTATATAATATAAATATGATATAAAACAAATATTGAATTTTTTTAATAAAAATATTTTCACAAAATTGTGGAAATAAAATGTAAAAATAATAATAAAAAGCAGAAATTTTATATTATTATTTTTCTTTCAATTTTCCATATCATCTATATATGATTTGGAAAATTGAAAGAAAAATAATAAAATCTGTAATTAGGAGCAAAAAGATGGTGAAAATATTGTAAATGGGACTAAAAGTACCATATAAGTGTGAAAATTAATCCATTGTAAACCTATGGAGACTCTTAGGCACTGAAGAGGAGCTAGAAGGTTAACCTAGCTTGAAATGCATCGTAAAAAACAATAAAAGAAGTTTTATAACCTGAATTGGCTGTGAGGTAGTCTACTGAAAGAATTTTTCAGATTGAAGAGACATTTCCTTAATTCATTTTATTATTTTTATTAATAAGGATGACCAGATGGTCAAGGCATGTAAAAGCATCAGCTTGTCACTCCAGGAACTTGGGTTTGAATCCAAATTAAGAAACCTTAGGAATTTCACTGGACAATATGATGTCAATATGTCAGGCCTTATCCTTGACCTGAATATGGGTAGTTGTCCTCCCCTTTGTTTACTTGTTTAGTTGCCTGGATATGTCAGACTTTATCCCTGAGCATGGCAGAACTCACGATGGGTATGGCAAAAGACCCTTTTAGTACCAACAGAACAAAGAGTTAAAATACTAAATATAATAAATATATAAAACAATTTACTATAGTAAAACCTTTGATCTATTATTCCTGGATATATCTCTTTTCTAGAAACATTGTTCAACTTTTAAAGTCCCTGAACAAATTATAATTTAAACTATGAAAATTAAACATACATTAATCATTCCTTGATTTATCATTTTCTTCATCTATTATTATCAGAATTTTTAGTCCTGAAAAACATTAATCCTGAACTGATATCTTTTAAGAAGGAATAATACCAACAATGAAGATTCCTAGTCTCTGCCCTCAGTCTCCTCAAGTAACTTTCTTGAGTAGCACATTCCAGATGTACAGTACAGTAGGTTCGTAGGAAATATACTTTCACACTCAACTTGTTCGATATATAAGTTTATTTACAAAAGAATACAGTTTATCAAGGTATCTCATCATACAGATTGACACAATAACAATTGAGGACAAGTTTGAATAATCAGGGATGGCCACTCAATAATTTCTGATAATTTCTGTACTGTGGAGAGGCCCTATCTGAACTTTCATCTGATCTCAGATCTCACTCATTTCTGAGTGTCCCTTCTGGAGGAGTGTAGCCTCTCTCCCTATCCTCAGTGGCTTGCTGAGTATCTGAGATCTAAGTGCTGTCAGTACCAAGCCTTACCCTCCATCCTTTTTCTGGTTGTCTCCCCCAATTTAAAGGTTTTTTGGAAGCCAACTTCTGACTAATCAGCAGGATTGTTGCATGCAAAGCTTTCCTTTACATCTGCACTGACCCAAATATGGGTGGTTGTCCTCCCCTTTCCTTGTTTAGTTGCTGTTGTTCACATACTATAGCAAATGGTTTTACAACTGGACCACACCAGGATCCAATTTAAGTAATCACAAATTACTTTGTTTTTCTTCCAAACTAATACTTTACACCATAGAAATGTTAGTATGCATTGGTAGTAATAATAGCAGTTGATATTTTAAGAATGTGGTGAAGAAAGTAGCAGTTTGGACTCTGTATAGTTAGCTATGCAAGCTTGAATGTATCATACCTGATAGGTGAGCTGGGGGAAAGAATGGCAGTGAAAGCCTGATCTAGATAGAAAAAAACCTGTCTGTTTGCATGTTGCCAGATCTGATGACTTTAAATACTTTTGGTGACAAAATATATAATATACAATTGCTGAAATAGAGATTTAGTGACTTTTCTAGACGTCTACAATAAAGAAATTTAAAAAATTACTATTGTTGCTATTGGAATTTTGCTAGTCTAACTCTGGTACTTTGTGATTTTTTTTAAGTTTCCATAAACTGGACTTGGGAACAGTGCAATTGTGAAAATCATTTTACTTTGCACTTTCACTTACAAGGAGTATTAAATCTGTTCTTGACCGATTTTGATGAATTTTGGCACAAAAGTAGTGTTTTGATATGATAATGCAATCATCCAAACTGTTTCATTCTATGGGATATAATGAGCAAGTTATGACTAATTGAATGTGGAATTATTTCTCTTGGCAGACAAATAATACAGTATTTAGTCTTATGAGCAATGATCTGCCCAAGAAGAGAGGCATAGCAAGAGAAGGTCAATGGTATATTTGTTACTTATTCTATGATATTGTATTATTCATTAAATCACCAACACAATTGTTATTTGCAGAGAGAGTAGTTTAATATCAACCATGGTTAAACTTTTTAAGTATCACAAATAGTTTTACATTGATGACATGATTGGTTGTAAATTTCGTCACATTGAAACCAGCTGACATGTAGCCAAAAGGTTCTGGAGTCTTTGCTGTTTACCAAATTCCTGGTAAAATTACCCAAAAACTGCCATTTTTTAATCTTGATAAATGAGCTATAATCTCTAATCAATAATATGAACTACATTCTCCATATGCAATAATGTGATTTTATTATTGTGTATAATGTTTTGTGTTTTTGTCATGAACATTTGAACCAACTGAAGAAGCTCAATGTATATATGGAAAAAAATGCTGTTTTAGTTAATTATTTCAGTTCTTTTATGCAAATTGTATCTTTTTTGGTTTTGTATTAGAAGGTTAATTCAGTACTTACATTCAGATTCATTTTTATAAAATGTCTGATACTATTATTTTTTAATTATTAGTAATCTATATTATCAATTTTATATTTGGTTTATGACTTATTTACAGATTTACTATAGGTTTTTATTCATTTTTCACTGCTTCAAAAACCTAGGTTGTCCTCTATGTGCAAGCGAATGATTTTTGTGTTTTTGCAATAATTTTTGTAAATTGTGTATTTGCACTTTTAACCAGATGCTCACACTCTGGTGTTTAAAAACAAAAGTATTTTATCTGGGTTGTTTGAATTGTTTTTGTGTATTGTCAGGAATAAAGGTGAATAGCAATAGGAAAAGCAAAGCTGTTGGATTCAATTCCAAATTGAAATTCCAAAATCACACGGGAGCCTGATATGAGTTTTAGTCCATTCCCATGTGAAAACATGATTATTCGGAAATCAGAATTCGGAAAAACTCTTAAGTGTAATCAATGGAGAATGGATTCAACTGTTAAGAATTGGCAAAAAAAGGTTCCCAATTGTCCAGCTTTACATGAACAAATTATGTCAATTTTACGAGATTTTTCCTTAAAGTTTAAAATGCCAGTAATTTTTGTGGAACAATGTGTACATTTATAGGCATTTGATATTTTATTTGTGATTACACGAAATAAAATTAAAATTGTATTAATAACTTTAATTTTCTTTATTTTGATCTTTAAAGTTACACCTTGCCCTATATGCAAGTAATTACGGTATATATATTTATTTTAGATTGATTATATTGTTCATTATATGATATTAATTACTATAGAAATATAAATGAGTTTTATATTTATATACTGCATTTATATACAAATATACTTATTTATTTTTTTAAGGTTGATGTCAATCCAAATTCTGGAATATTCATTACTCTAAATCCAGCTGGTAAAGGATATGGTGGAAGACAAAAGTTACCAGATAATTTAAAACAACTTTTTCGACCTGTTGCAATGTCTGTTCCTGATAATGAACTTATTGCAGAAGTTTTACTATTTTCTGAAGGATTTAAGCATTCAAAAATTCTTGGTTGTAAATTGGTAGCAATATTTAATTTAGCAAAGTATGATTTTATCATTTATTATAATATTATAGTTGTTATATTTTGGAAAAAGTGATTAACAATAGATCTAACTATCTTTATTTTTCTAACAAACGTTTTGATTTAATGATTTGACTAAAGTTTCCTTTTTAAAAAGAATAAAAAATATTATTTGACTCTTTTTTTTAGTCTATTGTTAATGTGTTTTTCTAAGCTTTTATAATAATATTTATTAACAATAATCAATTTTATAAAACTTTGAGTACAGTAATACCTTGACTTACGCTACCCCGACTTACGCGAACCCGGAGTTACGCGATTTTCAAATCTCATCGATTCGTCTTTTGTTTGAGTGCCACGCAACTCTTGATTACTCACTCCCTCCACACTATTGTTCGGCTTACATGTTCAGAAGTGTCGCATGGAATCGACACATAGCTACAATTTATTTTGTGTTATTTATTTCTGTGTTTGTTATATCTATGGAGACTCGAGAGACTCTATATGGTGATTTCTTGTAACCGTGAACGAATCAAAAGACGAGATAAGATTAACGAGAACATTTATTAGCTTACATACATCCGATTTGGATTTTACACAAATTGTGAAATTATACCCCGACTTACGCGAATTCGACTTATGCAGTTATCGCTCGGTCCCACCTATCGTGTAAGTTTGGGGTATTACTGTATATCAATATTTGAGGAATATTTTAACTTCAAAGTATATTTGAATATATATAAATAATAAAAAGTTGTGTATTATGCTGCAAAAAGTAGACATTTAAGAACAAATTTTTAATAAATTTAAAGAGTTGCTTTTAAGAAAATTGAATTGTAACAAATAGTTATTTTTCAATTTTTTATTATATGGCAGTATAAAGTAATGTATAATATTAAAATTATCTCATTTGTTGTTGAAAAACAATGAAATAAAAAACTGAAATTATAAATTAAATATCAATAAGAATATCAATTTTATTAAATAACTAATAATTTCTCTATTTTTATTAATTAAAATAGTTAATTGTGCATTTATAGTTTTAGAAAAAATTAAATTTTTATTTTGTGCTAATAAGAATTTAATTTTTTATAATTAATTAATTTAAAATATTTTGCCTTCATCAATAAATTTTGAAACACATTTTTTTTATTTCTTTACATTATTTGCAACAATATAAACTTATAATTTTCAAATTAATACTTGCACATTCAAAATTTGTGATTTTGAATCTGTGGTTTAAGTTAAATACTTTGTATTTCTATATGAACACTTACATTAATATGACACTGTAATAATGTGTCTAAATTTTTCTAGACCTAAATATTTCTATCTGTTTTAAAAGTTGAATTTTCTTAGAATTATTAAATATTCTAGTTTTTTATCTTTAAATTTAATATTGATATTATTGTTAATTGCTTAATCCACATGCCTTATAGTTGGACATTCAAATTCATATTGCTTTAATATTGCTTCATTTTAGTTGCAGCATTCTGAAGGTAAACAAAATGGCATATTTGTGTTTTTTTAAAGTCAGTGTAAACTATGCCTAGATTTCTAAATTCACTTAATCAAATGTTATTATCAACATTTTAACATTTGGAATAAATGAGCACCTCTTTTCTGCATTATATAATACCTCAACTATATCAATATATAAAATATTTTCATTAATGAATAAAATAGATGATTATACCAAACAATATGAAAAATACAGATATAAATATTATCTCAGAAATTTTAACATAAATTTAAAAAATGAACGTTTTTGGCCATCTTTCAGAGGCCCTCATGGAAGTATTATTTACAATGCCACAAAAGCATAATGATAAGTTTTTATGTATAATTATCTTTTCTTTTATCTTAATCATTTATCTTTATGCAATGTAAATGAAACAATTTTCTTTATCGAACATCATTTATACATTAAAACATCAGGCTAACTTTTACAACGTCATATATTATATTAATGAATTTATTTATAGCTTTATTTAAAAATACAGTAGAGCGTCGTTTATCCGAATCAATTGGAGACTGGGGTGGTTCGGATAACTTATTTTTCGGATAACGAATCATGTACGAAAAAATATATTAATTTATTTTGTGTTGAAATTTTTTCTCCGTTGCGTGTCGCTTCGCGTTGAATTTTATTCGATGTTAAGCCTAACGAAGACTATTGTATCGTTAAAAATTATTTTTTTATTTTGTACAAACAAAATAAATATATTGAAAAATATAAAAACAATAAAAAATTATACTTTAGATGTTAATTTAATATCAAAAACGTAAAATATTTGAATAACCCAAGAAATAGCCGAAGATTGCAGTGCCACAGAACTAGCGAAAATTTAAATTTGCCGACTGGAATGCTTTCGGATAACGGACGTTTCGGATAACCAGCTTTCGGATAAACGACGCTCTACTGTAATTTATTTATATGGTGTAATATATAATGATCTTTGTATTGAACATCAGTTAAATTTTTAAAAATTGGGACATTGCTACTTTTGAAAGCTAAAACTTTTCAAATGATAGAACTGTTTTTTCTGTTTTGTGCATTCTTTCCTGACGAGGACCTCTGAAAGACTGCCGAAAACGTTTGAACATTAAAATTTATTTGTTCATTATATGCTGGAATTTGCACTTAGGTGTCAAGTTGTTTGTTTGAGTTAATAAGTATTTTTGTTCTTTCCAATTATTTAAAATATTTGATTAATCTGGATATTGATGTAATTATCATTTTTGAATTGAAATACTAGAAAATTTGTTAAGATAAATATTTTATAATTTTATATATAACTTATAATTTTGATATGTTGTAAATTATTGAATATTATAATTTTATTTTTATTATATTTCTTTAATATATGTAATCTAATTAGTGTTTTTAAATCCTTTGAATTCAAAATTTGTAAATAAGTATTTTTTTATTACTATAATTTGTTAGAGATTTGTTATCACAACAACAACATTATGATTGGGGTCTTCGAGGCTTGAAAACTATTCTTCAAAGCTGTGGAAAATTACTTCAAACAGAAAAGCATAAGGAAAGTAATAAAAAAGGTATCAATTCTATAACTTAAAATACTTTAGATTATATTCTGAATAATTAAATAGGTGGCACATCAAGAAGTTAAGTTTCAATTGCACATCCTAACCATGCAAGCATGTTGTCAGCTGTCATCTACTGATTGTTATCATGGATATCAAGCAGACACATTTTAAGTTTTCATTTTTAGGTTTTTGATGTTTATAATTGTTTATTGAAATTTCCACAATAGTTTAACTTTTTCTAGTTGTGAGATATATAGTAATCAAATTTCTGAATGCCAAAAATGTTCTGATGGCTGAAATTCATAGATACTGTACATTTGCAATGTATATTATATTGATGCAATGAATGCTAGAATGGTTAGATGATGACGAAGACTTTTCAAGAAAGGCAGACAGAATGTGCATGATGAAGATTGAAGAGGTTACCAATCATTTGCCATGATGGTCTCATGCAGTTGGTAAATGAAAAAAATTCAAACAGAAGATTCAGCATATCAGTGTTGTGTGCAGAATTCCCTAAATTTCTTGTTAAGGCCTACATGAAATAGTTCAAGATAATTTGAACTGTGCAATACCATACAGGCATAACCCGTCAGTTTGTAAGTTATTAAGAAATAGCAAAGATGCCATTACACCTACAATGCACCAGGGGTGTATATTACATTACATTAGATCAAAGGAAGAGAGAGCTATCCGTTTCTTGTTTACGGACTTGGCCCTGTTGGAAGAGGAAAAAAGGAAGAGCATGTGGTCGAAGTGTGAAGAGAAAGTAAGATAGGAAAGTGTGAAATAAGGCATGGGAGACACCATGGGCACCCGCATCGCATTTAATAAAACCGAGTACAGACAATTACGAATATTTACAGTTAATTATAACGTGATTACAATATAGCCTTTACATCGATATTGTACATAGTACATAGATGGTCAACATAATTATATTTACAGGGTAACAAGATTAAAGTAGGAAAAACAGATACAATTGGCGTGTTCCAAGGATACGTGGCGGCGTTGCGCTCACCGCGCGTGTTACAACAGGAGACTTAAAACTAACATATATGATATATAATTACTACACTAATAGGTTTGAGGTACAGAAAAACAGTTTCACGGCCATTTTGCCGCGTTTACAACACCTGAGATAACGAAAACGCAATTTGATATTTACAAGGTACACTTACATTACACATACGCGAGTTAAATTATACAACACGTAAGATACATGGCGATACAAGACGATACGGCTGCCTACACAGCCCCTGTGGATTCTAGAAGCTAATACAGAGTTACCGATCCACCGAAAGTTCCATTCCATCAGCCGTTCGAATGTCCTTTAATGATGCTGCTCAACTCCGCCTTGGGGTGGTTGGTAGATGACGAATTCTATGTTGCGGTCACAGTACGATAGTTGTTGCACAGCGCCTTTGTGTTTTTGGTGTATTTCTTGAGGCTGTTCCAGACCTCTTTGTTGTTAAAAATGTCCTTTGGTCTTGGGGGCCAGTTGAGACCGTTATTAAGGCAGGTCCCCATAAACGGGAGCCTTTCCTGTTCGTAGGTTGGACAGTCGTAGAGTAAATGGTTGCCATCACCTTCGCTTAAGTCGTTGCAGTTACAGGTGTTAGCCTCTCGTTTGCCGAATCGGCAAAGGTAGGAGGCAAAGTTGCCATGGCCAGTAAGAATCTGCGAGGTTTCGGCATCAGGAGTGTAATGTTTGGTCTTTAAGCGGAGATGGATAGATGGGATGTAGTTGTGAGTAGTCCTGCCGGTATCGGCAGAGTCCCAATCACGCTGCCACTGGCTGATATCAAGCGTGTGCAGTTGATTTTTAAGCCATGTGTTAGGAAGCCTTTTATAAGTAGGTTCACCGTCTAATATGCTAGCCCTTTTTGCCAGCTTGTCTGCGAGTTCATTACCGGGGATTCCCTGGTGTCCCGGTACCCAGCTGAAGATGACTTTCTTGGTTTTCCCCAGATTATTGGCCGCTGATATTAGTTCTTGCGAGAGGCCGGTATACCTTCTTTTGTTCATGAGGATCTTAAGTGCCGTTTGGCTATCTGTATGAAACTTTATATGGCCTTTATATCTTTGGTTGTTCTCCGTGACATACTTGATTGCTCTGTATAAGGCCCACTGTTCCGCTTGTATGTTTGTACAGTGGGAGGCCATCTTGAGGTAGGCTTGGTATTTTGCCTTTCCTTGATTGTTCATTATAACGAAACTGGCACCCGTTCCTTCGACGCTCTTTGACCCGTCTGTGTAGACGTCCCATGTAATTTGTATGTTTCCGTCGTTTTCCGGGTTAAGGTTTACTACATAGATGTTATCCTCGCGTGGGTGACGTCTTTCCATGCCGGTTGTCTGCATGCTTTCCATTCCGTTTTTGTTAATTGTCTCTATTATGTCCGAGATTCCTCTTGTATATTCATTCTCGTTCCCGTTGCTCGGCCTTGTTGTCGTATATTGAATGCTTATATTTTTACTAATGAGCCACTTGTAGGCTACACTTATGGCCTTTATGTGGATCGGTGTTATTCCGGCCATAACTAGCAGGGCGTTGGTGGGCGCTGTACGGTAAGCCCTACAGACTTGTATGGTGTAGCGCCTCTGGATCGATAGCAGCTGCCTCTTTGCATGAATGTTGTTTAATGCTTCGTACCAGATTGGAATGGCATACAACAGAGCGGGTTCAAGGGCTGCCTTATAAATAGTTCTCTTGTTTTTAAAATTTAATCCCCAATCTTTTCCCGTGATCCATTTTAACACGTTTGCACGTTGGATTGAAGTCTGGTATAGCTGCTTGATGTGATGCTGCCAGTTTAGCTTCTCGTCGAAGTATATGCCGAGGTACTTTAGCTCCTGGCCGACCTTTATTTTTTTCCCTCCGATGTAGATGCAGGGTGCCCTTTGTAGTCTTCCGCCTTTATTTTGACGGGTGCAGACTAGAGCCCGGCATTTCTCGAAATTTATTGGCAGCTTATTGTTTGTGCTCCAGTTGTAGATGTGTTCCAGATGTTTGTTGGAGATTTCTGCTAGTCTAATGCTATTTCTGTGGGCAACCATTAACAGTAGGTCGTCGGCAAACGCCTGGATGGACGCTTCTTCGGAGTTTGGGAACAAGTTTAATAGGCTGTCGAACACTAGGTTCCATAGACCTGGTCCGCATCTTGAGCCCTGTGGACAGCCCCTGTTGATGTTCTTTTCGATGTTTATAGTTCCCTTCCTGAATACCACCTTCCTGTTTGTGAGGTAATTTTTGGTGATTCTGTAGATATTCATTGGGGATTTTATTGTCTTTAGCCGGTGTAGGACGCTCGGCCACCAAAGATGGTCAAACGCCTTCTTGAAGTCTATACTGATTAAGATTGCATGGTTGTTTTTCTTCCAAGCATTTTTAATGTAAGTTTTAACCTGTAGGGCGGCGTCTGTTGTTGATTTTCCAGGACGGAAGCCGTATTGTTTGGGGCTTTGATGGTTTCCTTGGTGTAATATCCAATTGATTCTTTCGATAATTAGTCCATCCAGGGCCTTCCCGAGTACCGAGAGAAGGCTTAATGGCCTGTAGTGACTGGGCTCGGTTTGGTTTTTTTACCTTGGGGATTAGTTTGATATTCCCCACCTTCCATTCGCTCGGGATAAAGCCCGTCTGTAAGCATTTGTTGAATAAGTGGACCAACGAGATTGGGATGGCCTTAAAGACTTCTTTCGCCATTTCGGGTGTGATATTGTCCAAACCGGGCGCTTTTTTATTGGCGAGTGATGTGATTGCCCGCTCCACCTCCCGGAATGAGAATAGCTGGTCGTTGTTCGTTGTTGTGTAGTTTTCGGCGCCAGTACGGATAGTATTGTGTATTGGTGAGTCCTCCTCTGCGATATCTATCGGGAAGTGATAATCCATGATTTCTGTGATATTTTGTTGGATATCGGGAATGTTGTTGTTTTCCTGGTGACTTATTTCGATGATGTCGGGGATGTTTAGCTTTTGTCTTTTTTTGTAGATTATGTGGTAGGGAATGTCCCAGGGACCGTTTTTATTGGAGTCACTACAAAAGTCCCTCCACGCCTTCGTTCTCGTTTTATTTATCAGTTTCTTGTATTCTTTTAGTTTTGTCTTATATATCTCTTTTAGCCTTGCTTTCTCCTCCTCGTCTCTCGTTCTGGAGGCCTTTCTGCGGGTCTTGGAGACCCTATCCCTTTGTATGGATAATTCATCCGTCCACCAGTAAGTCTTTCTGTGTTTTGTAATTTTTGTTTTGGTGGCTTGTTTCTTGGCTAGTAAAATGGTTTCAGTAATGAATTTTGCGTATCCATCCATGTCTTCCTGGGTCTTTATATCAGGGAAATGGTAGGTCCTCCATTGCCTGCTAAAACATTCCCGAAATTCCTCCCAGTTAGTTTGCATTCTATGATGATTAGTTTGTCGTTCTTCGATTATGATGTCAGAGACTTGGGTCAGGAGGTATCTGTGATCGCTGGCGGACGGAATAAGCAACGTCTCGCAGTCAGTGATCCGATGACTTAGGTCCGCAGAAACCAGACAGGCATTTGTCCAGCCCTCCGCATGGGGAGTGTGAAAAGTTGGGTGGGTTGTCATGTTGACCGATATGAGGTCGTTTGCGTCCATAAAATCTGCCACCAACCTTCCCCTTTTATCTTCCTTAGTGTGGAACCAGATCGCTGATTTTGCGTTCAGGTNGACATGAAATATTGAAAAACGTTATAAGAATTATCAAATAAAGATAAAGAATTCAATCTTATATGCATTTTATTTCAAAATCTGTTCTTTTTCATAAGAACTTTTATCAGTTCCTTTGATATATTGCCAAATTTTTCTGTATAGTTGAAATTAATTATGGTCTTAGTATCCAATAAAAATATTGAAATCATATCAAATTAGAAGTTTAATAAAGCCTATAATTCAGTTATTCTCATTTATAAACTTACTAAATATCAAGCAAACAAAAAAAACATATTTAGGGAGCTACTCAATGGTTTCTTAAATCTAAATAAAT